ACAGTGGCTTGGTTGCCACAGAATGACATTCTTGGACACCCACATCTGAGGTTGTTCATGACACATGGAGGTGCCAACAGTGTGCAAGAGGCAGCATATCATGCTGTTCCTCTTCTGATTACACCGCTATGGGGAGATCAGTTTAGTAATGCACAAAAGATCCAAGCTGCAGGAATGGGGTCCTCCATTGACATCGGTGTTAATGCTGAATATACTGCTGAGAATATAGTGGAACTTATCAATGAATTGATACAAAATAGCAAGTAAGTCAATAATTATTGTTTGGTATATGAGAAGTACAGTACATTGTTGACCATAAAATAGCAGCTTGTAAAACAATAAAAGCAACCATTAAATCACCAATTGAAAGGAAAATATTAAATGCCACAAACAAAATCCTACAAGACAATGTTGCCAGCAATGATTCTAGATGAGGTATAAAAATATGCTGGTGAACGACACAAAAAAAATCATAATTTGAGTGCGGCTTCTTGAAGTTGTAAAGGCTTTTCTATGCCATATGCCAATGACTGTGACGTTATGAGGAGTAATCATTTTATATGCACCTAATTGAAAAAACGTAATCGGGTTCAATATCATTGAAGCTAAGACCAAAAGGATTTTGGGTACTCCGAAATGTGTATTATATTTGCATATAGACATGTAAAAATGCACAGTAGAACAAAGTCGGTYGACCTAGATTAACAACATGCCAAAGCCATGATGCATAAAATGTGCACAGGAAGGRAAAACTGCAATATGCATGAAATTAGCATAATTGTTTGTCTTCACATGCTCCCCTTCGGTCTTAGCTTTGATGATATAACCTTTTTTTGAACCCGACAACGTTTTTTCAATTAGGTGTACCAAACATTACCGGCACAGCTAAATTGTATTTGAAACGTCATTTTTTTACCCATTGCCCTTATAGAAATTTTTTAAAGTTAGTTTTCATATAGTACTTGGTGTTTTGAGTTACGAGGAACAACAAATAATTAACATAAATGCCTCCTCATATACGTCACCTCATTAGCATATGGCATAGAAAAAACCTTTACAACTTCAAGAAGCCCACTCAAACTTTGAAATTTTTTTTGGATCATACTGAGAAAATTGAAGGGTAATGTTAGTTAATTCTGAAAGTGTTCTTTAGGAAAGAACTACACAATATATACAGTCAAATAAATTATCACAAATGATAGCTTGTTGGCTTAAAAAAATGATTAAAAAACTTTTTGTACATTATCAACACAGGTACAA